CCCCCCCCCCCCTCCCATCCCATCACGCCTCCTATACTCTCCTCACAAGAATCGAGAGAAGACGAGAAAAAGATTTTCTCGGTCCTCAATGTCTTTACAGACCGATGGCTCACTAACTTCCCTCCATGCTTCGTGCTCTATCTTTATACTGTTCCGATTCTACTAGTGGTGGAGGCATCTTACAGTCCTCTGATGGTAACACGAAACAAACCCCTACGATGACTAAGCCTAGCGAGGGGATCTGCTACACCGGACCGATACTGCGCAAACGCGTTGGTACGGGCGGTTACCGCTCATCAGCGGCCCGTCGAAGCGACTTCGCACCCGTCCCTCCTTCCCTCCGCAAGAAGGGCGCCGACCCGGGGCCACCCTCGTTCGGCACTGGGTGGAGGATACTGGAAGGTACTTCCGAGTACAAAACCAGAATCGAGCTCCGCCCTCGGTAACAGTCAGATCCTCGGATCGATCCACCATCGTGGGAATCCTTTACGCGACCCCACATTGCCAAGCCTGCAGCAAAGGGGCCCAGACTAGGCCGCAATCAAACGTGGTTATCACTCCGATGACTACGCTGTCGAGGGTTCTGTATAGTCCGCGGACGCTCACGGTCGTCCCCGATCCAAAACGAGTCGTTCCTTACATCTGGGCGGTAACTCGGACCAGTGCCCGGGCCGTGCGCGATGCTCTTCCCCACCGATTACGGGCCCCAGTCCCCTCCGTTGATCGAACCCTAACTCGACGTCGGTGACGGGGATGGTGAATCATTTGGCGAGACATGATGGCGCGAGCGGTTAGATACGCTTTGGAACGGGTTCTTCAGGGCCGAAAAGCGCTTAAAAGCACGCGTCGTTTGCTCGCCGGGGTTACGAAAAGGAGCCTACCCGGGTTACGCTGGGGAATTGTTGGTGGACCCCGCTACTGGTGCCAGCTACAATGTGAATGGGGCCCACGGGAGGAAGTATTTGGTCCCGGCTTTGTTTGACCCGTCAACGGCATCTTGCTCTACTATGGTCTAAGATTAGTTGAACTGTAATTTAGTGTATACAGCGTAGAGGTGGCTGGCCACATTTTCTTGTAATTCTTTCATTCATTGGATGAATAGATATTTTTCCATTTTTTAATATCACATTTGCTTTATTTTTACAACACTGCTATTTGGCTCGTGCTTTAACGATAAGCCAACTCGCACAGCAATGAGGGGTGAGCCTAATTGACACAGTGGGTCTCACCCCTGGCTCGCGCAAGCTGGCTCGAAGCGTTTCCCTTATTTTTAGTACTTGTTGCTGCTGTTTTTGTACGTTATGCTATGGAGTCAGAAGATGTATAAATTTTTTAATGAGCTTCGTTAGAGCAAGTGCAGCAAGCTCCCAGTTGGGAGTCCTAGTCAGCAAGCTCTCAAGAACTCTCAAGCATTTTAGAATAAAAAATTAAAAAAATAAGCGTTGAGAGGCCCTCCTTGTTTTATGGAGCTCCAACAAGCTCCTAGTTAGGAGCTTCAAACAATATCAAAAAAACCCCTATTCTATTTTAATATTTTACCATTACTTTTCACCTCAACTGTACATTATTATCAACTCTATTTTTTCACCTCAACAGCTAAACTTTTCACCTCAATAGTTTTGGTTGGCTTCATTATTATATTCACTATTTTGATGAGCATCAGCTCAATTCTCAAACAGCACACCCAATAAATAAATAAAAAAACCAAAAGAGGCCATCAAATCCAACCCCAAATTAAAAAAAACAACGGGTATTTCATCCTCTCCCTTCAACAGACCCATCCGCCGATCTTTCAACTTCGGCTAACGCCATCAAATCCAGGGGGCGGTGGGGAGGTCTTCATCCTCTCCATCAACGGCGGCGACCCGAATGCTTCGACAACGTCGCTGGCACCGTCGTCCCGAACTTCCGCCGACCCGAACGCCGCCAGAGCCCAATGCTTCGACAACGTCGCCGATCCTGGTATGTTTGAGGGGGGTTTTTGTAAAGTTTTCCCAGTTGGGAGCTCCCAAGCGCTCCACAAATTTGTGGAGCACTTGGGAGCTCCGAAGCTCTCCACCGCCACGTCGACCTAAGGAGCTGGGCTTGGGAGTCCTTCAGAGCTTGCTGGAGGGGGGATTGGCAACATCCATCGCCACGTCGGCCTTCAGAGCAGAGATCGGAGCTTGCTGCCCATGCTCTTAGTGCATACTCCGACGTATAAATATTTGGCACTGATTAAAAAATTTGATAATATTTTGTAACGTCAATGCTTAAAACTCTACTGATATAAATATAACTGTGATAATATCATGCTACCAATTCTACCGTTAGAAGTATATACTACAAATTTTTTGCTTGTATGTCCTATATATTTTGGGATCCATGAATTGCCTACATCCATGACATAGAAGATAAATGATAGAAGAAAAGAACCAACTGAATGAGATACTACCTCAAATTGAGTACTTGAACACATGATGTACAAAATGTCATTTTCCTTCCATTTTTAGGGGGAATAAAGGTTTTTCGAATTGAATGGTAGAACAATTAGAGAGATTAACTTTTAATCATTCCAAATAGGAGTAATAGTTAACCCCTTAGTTTGAGGGATTAACTAATTTTAAAACCTCAAGAGGGGTTAGCTTAATCATTCTCTGTTTTTTACGTTTGGTAAGTTATGTAGGGTTAACTCATTTTAACTATTTTATAGATTTTTTGTGTTTGACGGGTAAAGAAGAAGTTAAGACTCCTTAACCCTTCACTTAATTCTTTGCCAAATGACACCTCAGAGGTGACACTGTTTAAGGGAGGATAATATTTGAATCAACCCTCATGTGACACCATATTTTAGGCTAAATCACTTTTTCTTTTCATTTTTGAAACAGAAGCCACCAGTCAAAAAAAGTCAACGGAAAGCGCGTTTGGTTGATGAAGGGGGTCTTTAACGCCCCACAGAAGTTTAAGAACATCATAATCCGGTAAGAGTTGATATTTGAATTACAAATAACAATATTCAAACCCATGAAGAAAATATTAAAAGAAATTTTTTATTGAAAAACTATTCTAATCAATTTGGGGTTACATGTCTTTTCTTAAATAGAAAATAAACTAGATTCCTAATAAGATTGAGTTAAAAAATTAAAAATATCAAATCCTACCCTAAAAAAGACTCCTTATAACATAGGAAACACATCATGAATTAAAATTGTTGATGATTTATATGATCACATAGTTCGTTGCATCTAGGATTGGATGAGGTTGTTGAGGATTGATGAGGGGTCGTTTTCTTCCTTGACTTTATGTCAAGTTCTTGAATTGGATGGCCAAAAGATCTCCACATGTAGAAACACGTAAGAGGGCGGTGATTGGTTCCCACATGATTCATCTGACGGTCAAGTTAGCTGATGAACTTGAGTGTGGAAAAGAGGATCTGAATGAGTTCTTGTTGTGTAGTATGATTTTGGAGAATTAGAGAATTAGGATCAGAATCCAGAATTCGGTCCCTTGCGGGTTGAAATAGTACCTGCATTTATAGCTAAGGTGTAAGGGTAGATTGGTCACTTCAGTCGAGCACAGGAGGGCAATGATGAAGTGTGGGCTGTCAACTGAGTCAGCCTCTGCTTTACAGGTGTTGGCCAGCTAGCGACTGGAGGAAATATCACTTCGGCATTAAATGTGAAGTGACTGGTGCCTTGCCAGGGCCCACATGGTCCGATGAGTCATGAAGGCTATCAATACCAGAGGCATGATACATCTTACATGCATTAAATACGATGTTGACACGTTGTCAGCGAGGATAAGCTCGAGACAGAAGATGTCCTTTGCCTTCGGCGAGAAGTAACGCCTTTCGAGTCGGCTTAGTAAGGCGTTTGGCAAATGGTCGAGTGGACTCATGGTGAGTCGTTTTCGACAAAAGGGAGGTGACAAGTTTCGTCTTTCGAGTTGACAAAAAGGAATGTCGAGTCGTCGAGTCGGCGGAGTCGTCGTCCCTACTAGTCTTCGCCCGCCAAGTTGATTGGGGCATAACATGAAGCACACTTGTCCGTTGCTTGGCAATGAGCTTGCACTTTAGCGAATGGAAACACTATAACAAAAATTGAATTTATTTTCTAATTTAAATTGACCCCAACATTGAATTTATTTCCTATCTAAATAGGCCCTAACTTTATTACATAAAATAACTAAACATTAATTATTTTTTAGATTTTTACTTTAAAATTGGCGATACTAGTGAGATTTCAAAAATCTAACAATCATGTCTGATTCGTCTCGTCGAGGTTGGCGATTTACATATATAATATAACAAAAATTGCCATTCGAGTTAGAATATATGGTTATTTCTTTTAGAAGTCAATAACATGTATGTATTCGCATTTAACTTGTGATTGTCTCGCTTCTCCATGAAATTATTCGTTAAGTGATTATGGGGAAGAATGGATCAGGGAAGAGCACGTTCTCAAAGGTGGGTTTTTTTTTCTTTTTCTTTTTCTTTTTGATTGATATGTACGTGGTCTCTGTTGATATTTTTGAGTGTTTTAATTTCTTAAAGTGTGTGGATTTGATCGATTTTTGAGTGGATTTGAAAACACGTTTGAAAAATAAACACCATGGTATGATGTTTTAAAAAAAAACACAACAAAAAGAAACACTTTGGTTACCAAACGCTCTCTTAGTATTTAGAGGGTGATGTAACGTAGTATAGACAACAGAGTTACAGAAGAGAACAGTTTGTACTTTATGAGTCTTTATTCTTTGAATGAAACAATTCTATTCGATTATTAATTTATTTGAGATGAATTTCACATTGTTCTTATTGAGCACATTTTAAACTTTATTCGCTAGGAATTGCGGTAATGATACTTTTTTAAAATGTACTTTCTTTACATCTCAAAAATATATATACACACACATACTCTCTAACTCAAAAAATAAATTTGAATCCAGCTGCTAGCTTGTATTTACTAGTTATTACAGTGACACTTCCGAAACAAACAGGATGCAAGTTTGACACAGTAAGTAATAGCATGAGAACGGTTAATTAAATACAATGATAAGTTAAATAAAATCATAACAGCAAATGATATCAATCTCTAGGTGTTCATTTTCAGCAAATACATGATCATACCCATAGATAACAGTAGTATTCAAATTAAACCGAATCTTTTCTTATAACAAGAGTAACTCAAACCAAATTTATGTCTTCAATCAATTCATTAATGTTCTCATAAGAAGATCCACCTTGCGTAGCCGCTTTCTTAGCCCTCTCTCTCCAATAAACAACATTCTTGCGTATCTCGTCCCCTTTCTCTCCCTCCATCAACTCCTTCACTTTGCTAGTAACTTGCCCTCTCTTCACATCTTCGTCAATCTCTATGCCAAATCCCCATTCCTTACAAACGTATCGAGCGTTCATATTCTGATCATCGAACCTCGGCCAGCAAATCATCGGTACACCACTATTTATGCTCTCCAGCGTCGAGTTCCATCCACAATGCGATAGGAATCCACCAATGGACTTGTGCGAAATAACTTCATCTTGAGAGCACCAGCTCAATATGTAGCTTCTTTCCTTGGTTTTGTCGAGGAAATCTTTAGGCAATACGGCACTACGACCACAAACAAGATCATGCCTAATTACCCACAGGAAGGGGTGATTGCTGTTAGCAAGCCCCCAAGCAAACTCAACCAATTCTTCGGTCGTAATTGTAATGATACTCCCAAAGTTGACATAGATAACTGAACTGGGTCTTTGTTGATTTAGCCATTCCGTGTAACCACGATCCTCTTCTTTCCAAAGGCTTAAGCGCATAGGTTTAGTGGGAGTTGTAGTATTATGGCTTGCCAAGGGCCCTACAGTGTATACCTTTTGAAACTTAGATTTTAGGGCATTCAAGACTTCATCCTCCAATAAATCAAAGGTGTTGAGCAGCAGGTTTTTAGCTCCGACGGACTTTTTCGCTGCGTTCTGGGCCAGTTTGAAAATGAAATCTTCTTGGTCAGCTGTTCTGACGAAGCTAGGGAGGTCTCTCGGTCGGATATCTTTCAGACCCGGAATGAAATCAATGGGTGTATCCATGGTTAAATTGTTATCATCTGTTGTACAACAGCAAACCTCATTAAATATGACATGCATGCAATTATTAGGGGAATTATATAACAAGACTGGTTTCCTTGGTAATCCAAAGAAAACCTCATTATTGTGAATTTTTTTTATTAATTGGGGGTAGGTGAGGGTGTAATCTTTTATTGAAGTAGTAGGCGAGGATGCAACTTTTTTTCGGGTTTAAGTTCACATAACCCCCTAAACTTTCGGGTTTTTTTTTCACATAGCACTTCTAATTTTATTTATGTACCACAATAACTATGATCGTTAATTTGTCTCACGAAACCCTCCTGACTACACCATTTTCTCATCGGACACCCTTAAGTACAATTTTTAAATAACTTAAATATAATTGAGAGACAAAAGATCATAATATTTATCATTTTTCACTTACATGCAATGTACTTCCCCCTAAATGTTAGGATTTTTTTCCTTTCAATGAGATTTTTACTTATTTGCAAACTACATATAAGGGGCATCGGGTGAGAAAAAGTCAAATTCAAGGGGTTGTTGTGTAAGTTCACCCTTTCTGATGGGACATTAGTTTCGGTCAAAAATAAGCAATATTCCCAAAATCATTTCCAAACAGTTAAATGTGTTAGAAAACAAAATTTCCTTCATACAGTATATTTATTTCAGAAAAAGATTAGAAAACTTTGGAATTGCAATTTTGTGAAGGAAATAGTTTTCCTATGGTCGTGGGAAATCAACCTAGCTAGTTGAAATTTGTAGTACCTCTTCGAATGACCTCGTCCAAGTAAAGGGAGCAAATGAAACCGCAAGCGCTCATCGTCATGAACACAAACGAACGAATACTCAGCTCCTCGGCAACATCCAGAGCTACACGACGCAAGTGACCCTCGGCACCTCCGCGTAAGCTGTTGAGCCTCACCAGGAGATCTTTGAAGGGGGCGGCGCAATTCTCGTAGGTCATCAGGCACCACCTAACGACATGGCTCTCCGGGTCCGCGAAGCGGGCGACAGAACACCCGTCGGATTGCCTCGTATCGGAAATTCTCGAATCCCGACGAAGAGCGTCAGGGCCTTGAGATCTGAGGATGCTCTCTCGCTGAGCTCGTGTGACGAACGTGATGAAGAAGCCTCTGGAGTGGAGGATTTGAGCCAGTTCGAGCATGGGGTTTATGTGGCCTTGGCCAGGGATTGAAAGCATCACTACGTGCGGCCTCCCCATCTCTTACGACTTCGCGTTGGGTGATGGGCAGAAGGCACGCAGCGTCTCACCCCTTCTTAATCTCGCACTAAAATGAGCGAACATTCCAGAAAAGCCCCCTTCGTATGATGTTTTCCTTAGATGACCCTACATATATTTCAAAACGTCGCGAAACCCCGCTTAGTATGGGTTTATTATTTAAAAAAAAAAAAAAAACTTCTTTCAACGTTTCTTAACAAAAAACTTCCCTAGCGGGCTTGGCTACAATTTTCTTATGGGTGGGCGGGTTAATATTGCGGTTCATGCTTCTGACAGGAAATATTGTGGTTCATGCTTTTTGGAGGGCTTCTGAGGAAGCTGAAAATTTGAAGGGGATGTTTTTGAGTAACTTAAGGGAGCTTTGTGACTTTTTAAAGTTATAGAGGGTTATCTGAAAATTGACCAAATGTAAGGGGATCGCGTCAACTTTACGCTTGTAATTATGTTATGAAGTAGCTGCTACTGAAATAAGTTAATTTAACTGCATTGGGGGCATAATTTATGTAAAGCACATGCAGGAATCTTTTGCTTAAACGAGGTTGCGTTGCCCAAAAACAAAAATTATTTTTGGCTAAATAGCACTTAGATACCTTAATGTTTTACTAACTTCAAATTTAAATACCCTAAATTATAAAAGATAATATAAAAATATCTTAAGTGGTAAAAAAATAGTATAGTACTACATTTTGTTAAATAGATAACTGAATATTCCTAAACATATTCCCATTTGCACAGTACATAAGAAGTAGGGGAAAATATGTAAGGCCCCAAAAGTAGAAAGTTCATGTGACACAACCCCTTGTATTGTGGCCCATGTGATTCAACCCAAAAAAATATTATTTAATATTTCAAGGTCCAACAGTACAAAAAAAAAGAGATTGTATTTTGGGAAAAAACCCAAAATTGTCCCTCCACTTATCTTCCCCAGACGGCTGGTCCACAAAATACATGGAAAGTCGCGTCTCATTAATGCGATCTGACGAAAAAATGGAGGAAAATTTCCCGCCTTTTTTTGAACTCTATCATGAGCAATAACTCATATTAGTTCTAACTTATTTTATGTTAGTTCTAACTTATTTTATGTTAGTTGTAACTTAGTTCTAATTCATGTTAGAGCTAATTGAAGCCGTCGATGAACAAACATCAACGATCTTCCGAGTGGGTCAAGAAGCACATGCAGATTGATAAGAAGGAGGAGTCCCTCTTCCTGATCGGGAACCGGCTGGGGGACGTCACTTGGCTGAGGGACGTCTTGGCCAAGTTCATTGACGGCTTTGTCAAGAGCTAGCTTCGACAACCACTGCTAGAAAATGAACTATTACCGACAGGACTTTAGCGACGGAAAATTCCGTCGTTATAAGTCAAGTTATAGCGACGGAATTTTCCGTCGGCATTAATTTCCCGACAGAAATTTTCTGTCGAGAATTTTTTGTCGCTAAAAGGGGTTTTAGTGACGGAAATTTCTGTCGCTAAAACTCTAAAGTGGGGAATTTTTTGGGTTTTTTGGGCGCGGGCGTGCCCAAAAAATTTGGGCAGCCCGCGCTCGAGAGAGAGATTTCCCCAAATCCCTCTCTCATCCCCTTCCTCATTTCCCCTCCCCCTAGCTCCCTCGTCCTCAATCCGCCCCTTTCTCTTTCCGAACTTCCAACGCCGCGCGTCGCTACTTGGCATCACCGCAGGCCACTGTTGATCCGCGCCAACCTGCGGACGCCCGCGCCCGGCCGTCCAACCCCTCACCTGTTCTCCTCATTCCCCTTTCTCTTTTAACTTCTTCCAACGTATTCTTAAGGAAAAAATTTCCCTTGTAGACTGAGCTACAATTTTTCTTATGGGTGGTTGGGTGGGTTAATATTGCGGTTCATGCTTCTGACAGGGAATATTGTGGTTCATGCTTTTAGGAGGGCTTCTGAGGAAGCGCAAAATTTGAGGGTATGTTTTTGAGTAACTTAAGGGAGCTTTGTGACTTTTTTAAAGTTAAAGAGGGTTATCTGAAAATTGACCAAATGTAAGGGGATCTCGTCAAATTTACGCTTTTAATTATGTTATGAAGTAGATGCTATTAAAATAAGTTATTTAACTGCATTGGGGGCATAATTTATGTAAAGCACATGCAGGAATCTTTTGCTTAAACGAGGTTGCGTTGCCCAAAACAAACTATTTTTGGCTAAATAGCACTTAGATACCTTAATGTTTCCCTAACTTTAAATTTAAATACCCTAAATTATAAAAGATAATATAAAAATATCTTAAAATGTCAAAAAATAGCATAATGCTACATTTTGTTAAATAGATAACTGAATATTCCTAAAAAAATATTCCCATTTGCATACTACATAAGAATTACATTATTATATTGCCTCTATTTATTGCTGTTGATGTCATGATATCACACAGTCGATGAGAGTTTTTCATGGATGATGAAGAATGAGAGATGGGGTCAACTCCTCCTTCGACTTTATGCCCGATCCTTAGACTGGAATTCCTGATTCTCCTGCATGAAGAAGAACAAACCCGTAAGAGGGCGAGGCTAGTTTCCCCCGTGATACCTCCGACGGTCAAGTCAGTTGGCGAGTTTGAGTGGGGTTTGAGGGAGTGTCCCAGGACCATTGAGGTCCTTGTTAGGGAGTACTCTTTGTGAGTTATTAATAGAAAGAAAGTTGGTCAAGAGGGAATGAATGATCCTCCAAATTCATGAATGTTCAGCCTCTTCGTCGAGTTAAGATTAAAAAGAGAAGAAGAAGAAGCCTCCCCTCTTACCTTACCCTCTTTCCTCCCTTTTATAGTCCTTCACCCCTCAGATTCCAACACTGGGCTTTGACTATGCACAGAAGGGCGGTGAAGGAGTGAGTAGATAGGCTGCTTAGTCATCCTCTTCTTTACAAATGTCGGCTGGCGATTGGAGGGGAAGTCATTCGAGCACAGAAGAGGATATCTTAATGATATCTGGGAAGTGACTTGTGAGCATAGTAAGCTGTTTATGCCTGAGATTTGTTAGAGTTGAGATCCTTGATGGGATCGATTAATACTGTAGTGTTGATTGATGCATATCTGAATATAGTTGAGTTGGAGTTTATCCCCTCAGTAAAGACGGGTTGGTTTTTAAGTTATCCCTATGGTTTGCCGACCCGATAGTCGGGTGAACTTTTGGCTGAGGAGACAGCCAAGTAGATAACCGAGCTGAATACATGAGGAGTCGTCTTGATTATGAGGCGGACGGACTCTTGAGGAGTCGTCTTGATTATGAGGGACCGACTGATCTCACACTTAACGTCGGAAAAGATGATTCGTCACTCGGTGGGTTGATTGATCTGTACTCGGCTAGGCTTTGGACCACTGAGCCGGCTTGTGTCATAGCTTTTTGGACCTATGAAGAAAATTTCTTGATATTTTTATCTTTAGATGACAAATTACCATAACAATTGCTTTAATTACCATTTTACCCACCCGCTTAATTTATTACTACTATTTTAATGAAAGGCATTTTGGTCAGCCTGATTCTAACCGTAGACAACTTAAAAGAGTAAAAATTAGGATATTTAAATATAAAAATAGTAAAATATTAGGATATTTAAGTACCATTTAACCATTATTTTGAAATTTTTAGTGTAGAGAAGAGAGAGAGAGAGACGTATAAACTTACAAAACAGAGCTTATTTTGAAAAAAAAACCCCCAATGAATGAAAGAATCACAGAACTACGAAGCATCTAATCCTCCTTGCCCTTAGCTGTATATATATTACATTACATTACCCTGTAAAAACTAATGTTTTCACATCTAATTATTCTTAAACCAAAGTAGAGCAAGACGCCGTCGACGGGTCAAACAACGCCGGGACCAGGTACTTCCTCCCGTGGGCCCCGTTAACATTGTAGCTGGCACCAGTTGCGGGGTCCACCAGCAATTCCCCAGCGTAGCCCGGGTAGGCCCCTTTCCCGTAGACCCCGGGGCAGGCCGACGCGGCTTCCAACGGCGCTTCCTTCGGCCCCTGGAAGAACCCGTTGCCGAACGGATTCGTGACGGTCCCAGCCAGCAAGCTCGCCAGATTGATCACCACCCCGTCGACCCCGACGTCGCCGTTAGGGGCGACTAACGGCGGGGACTGGGGCCCGTACATCGGCTGGTGGAACGGCCACGCGCACTGGCCCGGGCACTGGGTCGCCGAGTTACCGACCCAGATGTAAGCGAACCTGCGTTTTGGACCGGAGAGACAACGGCGGGGCCCCGCAGCGGTCAATGGCAGAATCCATCGACCGCCACGTCATTCGGAGGTGGAGGACACGGTTGATGTCGTTAGCTCTGAGGGCCCTTTTAGGCTGCCAGCCTTGGCCAATTTGGGCGCCCGTGAAGTGACTCCCCATCGGGTATGCACTAGTCGAGGAATCGGCTGCGAGGCGAGCCCTCTGCATTCTGGTCTCGACCGAGAAGTACTGTCTCCATCGTCCTCGCACAGGAGGAGACCGAGGCTGCTTCTGGTCTACCGTCCCTTCTTGGAGAAGAGGAGAGGAGGCGACGAAGTCGGATACGATGGCTCGCTGAGGGGCGGTGAACCTACCGTACCAGATGGAAGGTTGCTGAGGTCGTTCCGGTGACGGATGAGGCCCTTTGGTAGGTCATCGCGGGCGGGCTGCTGCTTCGACCGAGAGCGGCAGGTTGTCTCGCTGCCGATGGGAGAAGTAGAACAATAAAGTGAAGCATAGGAGAAAGAGATTAACGTTGGCCATTGTATTGTATCTGGGAACTTCTAGAGACTGTATATTTTGATCAGAAACGAAAGCGATTTGCGATGAAATAGAGAGGGGTTTGTGGGGGTTTATATAGTACCCAACTTATACAAGATTTAATTATTTAATATTATCATTTTGAGAATAAAGAAAAAGAGAGCGAAGGGGGGAGGAAGCTAGAGGCAACAAATTAAGGAGGCGGTTGGAACGAGGCTAGTAGCTGGAGGTCGTGCTAGCTGGGCTCACGTCAACAAAACGCTTTTTGTGGTCCCTTTGACAACCAGAATCAACTAGCTAGCTTTTGGTTTGGAGTCAAAACCCGATTTGACCCGACCTGTCCGAAAGCAGCCTGATGAGACCGACAATGCAAATGTGAGGAAGGTGACGAGTACAGATAACGTCTTTCATCTGGCTGATTTTTTGAGATGAAATTAATCTTGCGCTCGTTTCGTGATATTCTTATTCTTGATTTTAGTTGAGAAAGAGAGTTTTTGGATCAGTGGGATAAACCTAGTGTCTTGGATTTTCGTGGGAGACAGCCCAGAGTTTAGAGTGAGTTCGGTGAAATTATCCTTTTAGGGGGCGTTTGTTTCAAAAAAAATTTTGACATTTGGGTGAGATTTTAAATTCTAGGATCAAAAAGTGGGTTTTTTTTTGTGTTTTAGAATTCCATATAACTCTTGTTCGTTTCAAAAAATATTTTAGAATATCAAATCTCCAAATAATAAAAAAATATTATATTTAAGGATGTGTGAAATCCTCTTTTTTGGGTGTGATGTGGGGTGAATTTCAAAAGTGTTAGACAAATTAAGGATTTCAAATCCCAAAAAGTTTGAAACAAACAAAAATATTACTGTACAAATTATAGTATTCCAAATCCCAAAATATTATTGAAACAAATAAAATTTTATGAATCCCAACTCATAACAAATTACTTATGGATTTTAAATCCCATGGTGAAATCCATATCCTAAAATTATAGGATTTGAAACAAACACCCCCTTAAGTATTTAATTGTAAATGTTTCTTTTCCTAGAGGTTTGAATTTAGACACCGTCCATCAAACACATTGCGCCTGAAAATTTCTTTTATCGCCTAGGTGGCTAGGTGTTTAATAATCATTTATATAGCTTGCTCAAGTTTGTAAATTAGCCAGACAAGTTAACACGACAGAGTCGCTCAAGCCCGTCTTATTTGCATCCTGAGAACTAACCAGACCTGAATAAGTTCCTATGAGTTCTAATCCAGGTTCGTCCGTTTTTCCTTTCTCAAGTTAAATAAAAACATTTATATATCAGATTCTCAATCTCGTGCAATATTAATGCAGTGGATCTAAGCCACAACTCGAACCTAATTTCGATCACCACAAGTCATTCATGCACCTAGACGAACGAATAGAAATGCACATGCACTATTAGGGGCCGTTTGGTTCGTCCAAAATTTATGAAAAATGACCGAAAAAGAAAGAAAACGGAACAAAAACACACCTCGTTATAAGTTTTTCATAATACTTTCATTTCCTCTGTTTGGTTCACACAATACTGTAAAAAAAAATGATGATGTGTCATATTCATATTGGTCGATGTGACCCATATTTTAAGACACCTATTTTATAATTTTTATTAAGAAAATCAGAGAAAAACTTGCTTGATGTTTTCGGCACCTCCATCCATTTTCTTTGATTTTCATGAAAACAACCAAACAGTCCATTACGCAGTAAATCCATCGATCCGTCCGTTTCTTCAGCAGTTCCAAAGGCTACTGTCTGTTGAGCGAGTCCCGAGAGATCCTCGGCGAGATATGCATCCTCGTGAACTTATCCAGAGCAACGCAGCACTTAAAAGTGAGAGTGATCTCGTGCTCCCCAAGCGTGCTGAGTTGGCCATTAGCCAAAATTTAATGCACCGTGCTAGCTCTCCGATACACTGCACAGAACATGGGTACGGAAACACTGCACCACCAGAGTACGGCTGTCCATGTCACCGAGCACTTAGGCACAAAAAATAATAATAAATAAAGAATGGGCGGAGCACGAGATCATCATCTCTTAAGTTAGGATGCAGCCGCTTGTGTCGCTGTTATGTTGGATAAGTTCAATATGTTTGCGGACACGAGCAAAGCTGCCGTCGGCAGGAACCAAATCTGGCTCAAGAATCCATCGTGATAACCTCGTGAATTGATTTTCTATAAATTATTATATATAAATATATATGTTGAGAATATCACGTGGTTTAATTGCATGATCTTCTGATTAACCGGCGCGTTGATCACAAAACCCGTGAATAAGTATGTCTACTCTCAAACCTTCATGCGTCGCAGTAATTTAAGAGCAGATGAGATTTAATTTCTTGCATCACAATTGAAACGCACTTATGATTCATAAGAACTTGGAGATTGAGATACAAATATGCGAAATAGTTGTCGTTGATTCTTCCTTCATTAATAACTAATTCTAATTGACTGTTAGATAAGGCCCCGTTTGGTTCTATTTTTTTGATGGGTAAAAGAGGGGAAAGCTGCCAAAAATGTCAGCTTTTTAGCAGCTTTCCTCCAAAATCACCTTTTATAGAGGCGATTTTGGGGGAAAGCTGCCAAAAAGCTGATATTTTTGACAGCTTTCCCCTCTTTTACCCATCCAAAAAACTGAACCAAACAGCCCCTAAGGTACCAGTGGTATATAAATTTTTTTTTAAAAAAAAAAAGTAGATACAATTAACATTAATTGATCAGTTTCAAACTAGGTAGACAATTAACTGTCAATGTAGCCAGCGCACACGAGACCGGAAGAATCCGCCGGTTTTCAACGCCACAACTTGCTTGCTTGCCATCGAATATCGCAGGGTCGTCTCCTTCAAATGTTGGGGCTGCAGCTAGCATTAAATTTTGTTTATATATTTTGAAATGTGATCTTAGAAAAGACTTGCTTTCTGCTTGTCTAAATTGATTGAGCTGGAGCAGAGGGGCTTAAGTTTTTCTCCGATGGGCAAATTGGTCATTGAACTATTATTCCTGACTTAACAAATTGGTTTGACTAAAGCAAGGATTGTCATTTTGTTGGGTTGAGGGGGGTTTTCTTAAAATTTTCAAGTTCGGGGGGGGGCGGGGGGGGATGGGTGGGCAGTTCTCTACTATAGCCATGCTTGAGTTGAGTTTACTAGAAAAAAGATAGTTGAGGTTTGTTTTCTGAGACACCATCATAATTGAAGGATTTTTTTTAACAACTAACCCATTGTTTTAAAACCAAACGAAATCCGCATTAAATTTATATTTTCCACAATATATTGCAGACATCTGAATGTTGGGTTTGAATTTAATTTCTCGCAACAAAGATTGGATGCAAACATTTTCGTTTCAACGGTTTCGGTGCGAAACGAAGCAGCCACTTACTGACTTACCGCATGAATAGATTGAAGGGTTATTTTTTCGACATTGGCTCCTTTGTAATCTTTAATATTTTGAATTAGTCCCCTCAAATGATTGAAATTGCTAATTAGTCTCTCAAGTGTCATTACTTAATTCAGAATAGTTCCTCTCTTAATTAATTATCCTACCTAAATTGGTAACTCGTATTGGGTTTAGTCGTTCCTGCTCCCCCTCCAAATCTTAAAAGTTTAACGAAGCAGACTAAAGGAGAAAGATCTAAATTGGCCTGACAACTAAATCTAGGGTTTAAACAAGTTTAAAGAATACCGATTTAGATTTGAAATAATGTAAATATATAGAGATATAATTGGAAATCATGAAAAAAAATTAAGTTAAGAGGAGTATTCCTGCCAAATCAAATAGCATCCAAGTACATGGACTAGTTTGATATAACGAAATTGGACTTGTGGGCCTAACAAGCAGTTTCCATGTTTTGAGGGCCTACTTACGGACCAACAATAATCATGCCAAAATAAAATCTTATACAGAGTTGGAGGAGGCCCAGAATGGGTATGCTGGGCTGGACTCGTGAACGGGCAGGTCCGAAATGCTCTGGTGATTGGCCTCTATAAATTGGCGCAGAGCAGCTCTTGGGCTATGCTAATGAATTTAATTGTGGCGGGAAAGCTGAAGCCTAAGGTCAGTTGGAGTCCAAAGTTTGGATTCCTCTGGCCCATCCTAAACCACTCTGGCCCGCCAGTGCTCTTTCTCTCCCATTCTCTGAAAATAATTAGGGTGGGAAAAAATAACCGCCGCCGCCGCTTCAATACGTGACGTCGTCGCTTACGTTCACTCTCACTCGATCGATAATTGTCCTCTTCGTCGTTGCTCACCAACTCCTCAATTCTCGACTCAATCCTAAATGGGCTGGCGAGGGATTCTTGGGTTCGACTACGGCATCGTTCAGGGGCCCCTGGGACCCGACATCTCGGGCCCCGAGCTCGTCGCCGCCGTCGCCAATGCCGGTGCCATCGGAATCCTTAGAGCCCCCGATTGGGTATGAATTTCTCTTTGATTTCGTATTTTTGATGATAAACAAAAGCTTAGTTGTTCTTTTATCTTCAATTGAATAAGACCCAGTTCACACTTTTTGTTTACTCAAGTCGTTTGCAGTTCTGGGAAGTTGCTGCCCTGAAGTTGTTTGTTAAAATGTCTAGCTGGAAAAGTTAATAAAATCCTAGTGTTGTTGCTTCTTTGTTAGATTGAAAAAGACCCAATATTCTCATGTAATATATCTCTCATCCTTTGCAGTGTTTAATAAATTGACTATTTTAATTTCTCATCAAATTGTACAACTGTCGATTAAAAATTGCTTATTTGCTCCAGTTGGTGATTTATAAGTATGATCTTCATGGTTACTCACTTCTAATGCCTTGAAGGCACATGCATGGTACTAGTTTTTCCTTCTCTAGTTTTGTCTACTAGATAACATCATGTACGGGCAACGTGGACCAGACACTTCTTCTTGATTGTTGATTAGTTTAGCATGTCCATCAATAATTAATGTAATCATAGAACTTTAATGCTGGTTTTTGATGTAAACCTATAGTGATAGGGAAATGAGTTTATTTACTGGCTGCTATTGTATCATATCCATCCATGCAGTCTGATCTATACCTTTTGTTCTGAAGAAGCACTACTACAAAAGGCTCTATTAGTAATGGTTCAAACCGTTACTAATAAGCCTATTAACAATGGTTTGAACCGTTTCTAATAGATTAGCAATGGTTAAAACCGTTGCAATTAGTCCGTTACTAGTAAGGCCGTTGCAATTAGCTTATAGCAACGGTATACAACCGTTGCAAAAGTAACAACCGTTACTATTAGATTATTTTTTAATAAAAAATAAAAAATCCACGTCAGCAAATCTCAACAATTGCTATAGTGTATTAACAACGACAGGCAACCATTGCTATAAGGATTAACATTTAATTCTATAAAACAATAAAATGTTCACATTAGAAATCCTAACCATTGCTAAAGCATATTAACAACTAAAATAATCATGTAAATATTACTGCTTATTTTCACAATCATTAATATGAAACAAATAATAACCTTCGTAAATAAAATTAAATGCGATTCGATTAAACAAATAACAAGTGTTTGATACATGTTTTATTAACAAATCCAACAATATGCTAATTACAAAGCATGTACTTCTTTAGACCATATATTTACATGGTTCCTGACTCCTTCACACTCTAGAACTCTAAATTTGAAATGCAAATCTAATAAATCAAAACCTACCCAAAAGACTTACAACAAAAAAGAAATAAACAATGATTAAGTAGACTTAAACAATAAAGACCACAGTGAGCCCATGTCTTATCAATGTTGCAAGCCTTTCCTTCGTCGTATCTCTGGGTTCTTCCCACTGCATCGCACCAAACTAATCTCCCCTTCACCATCTATCACCTTGCAACCTTCATCCATATCATGTCATGCCTGCCAAAAATAATAGAAATTTAGAAATAGAAAAAATAAAATTTAAGCCTCTACAGATTTTAATAGTTATTAACATTATATTCACAAATAGTTATAGTTTTAAACATCTTCAGGTATAGCATCGAAAACATTATACAAAAGGATAACACAGCTTCGAAGACATGAATATCATTACATACAAAAAAACACTATAAATAATGTCCAGTGGAGTGAAATTTTATATTGATCTAAGGCTACACATATTTGTACAACTGGATCTTGCTCGATATCAGATTCTTCCAACAATATATCAAAATCAACAAAAAGATGCAGTCATCAATAGTCAAAACATATGTAGAAAAGCTAAATTAGTAAATTCACTAATTACAGAACAACATGAACCAAAAGAGACCAGTATTCTTCCAACAATATATAAAAATTAACAAAATATGCAATCATCAATAGTCAATATCTGTTTATTGATATTCACGCAACTAGTATTAGAAAGTTATACAACCTGGAATGACAACCAACTCCCCTACAATGCTGCAGACATGCACGACAAACAGAATTCTTAAAGATCAATAATATAAACAGGACAGGTTTTAGATCACTTAACATAACCAAAACACTAGTGATAATAACCTCGCCATGACAGAGCCTGCACCTGACTTGATAATCTCAAATACTTGGATATCTAAATATTTCTGCAAGTGACGCTGAGAAAAAATGGCTAAATCCATGAAATACTTGGGACTTAAAGTAGTTAAAGTGAATAACATGTGTTTGTGTGTTCTGTCTGTGTTAGCTGATGAGAGAGATAATCTCTAAATATTCTACTACTGAAAAAGGTAGACTGAAGAATGTTATACGATAAGTCCCGAACTAGCTATAAGTACATGCTTGCATGTCAAATTTGATTAATTTGTACAGTCAAAACAAGATTAATTCTAAACTCAAGGTGCTCAGAATAACTTACCATTCTTTTAGTTTGCACAAAAAAATATATGGATATTTCACTGTTAAATGCAAATTTACTGTAAGCTAAAGGTAATAGGTTCTTCAAACAGTTATACACCTAAAGATTGTACTCTGATAGTGAACAACATTGCATGTTAATAAAAAACTTAAAAAAAGAATTAAAAAACTAACAAATAACAATAAAAGCAAAGGAACTTGAACTGCTAGTCAAGGGTAAAATAGTAGTGGGAGGGGTCACAAGCTAAGTATTATTATTGAGGAAGTTTCTTGCTGGGGGGTTATCCATATAAGTCACTAAAATTATTTAGAAATTACAAACAACAAAAAATTCCAAGAGACACAAGTAGCTGAGCTAAAAAAATTGAATTCATGACACAACATATGGGTTCTCTGCTTTAATTGAGAAGCCTGATAGTGTAAATAGAGACAGCTTTTATTGTTATTGGTAATAATGATAATAAGATTCGATACAGAAAAAAATTGTTAGGTGATGCATGTGTCAGAGAATTTTAACCTCACCTTATTAAGATATATCTATTGACTATTAAATACATCGAATATATTTTTTGTTCTTTACATTACATATCAAACCTAAAAAGCAAATGTGTTACATGTATAAGCGAACAAAAACTCAGAAATATCGATAAGAGAAATTTGTGAAAGCCAGAAGCAACACGAGAACAAAACTTATCATATGAAATCAAACCAGCAGATATGATATGACTATATGTGCATCCTTTTCAATAAATCATAATCATGACAGTGTATATTAATTACTCCTACCATATGCACATTAAGACATTTAGACTTCCCACAAAAAAGTTTATGATCAGAAACAGTAAGAAAAGGATACCAAAAAGTTCATACCTTTGGTTAACATAATTGATAACTTTGTTGTTGAGAATCTCATAATCTCCACAACCAATTTTAGTCTTTTCGCATGATATCAAGTAAAGGATTATGCTAGTAACAATTAAGGTGTTAATTATAGAAAAAAGTATCAACTCTCAATACTTAAACTTGAGGAGATACTCCAATATTCTAGGCCAATAAATCACGTATTGGCATTTCATCAAACAAGTGGAGTGCACAACATGTATATCCATTTCAAGGAATTTATCCACCATCCTTAGCATCATGTGCAATACAAAGAAAGAATTTGAGATTGTCATGACCTCTGAAATAGTTGAGAGTGAAAAACAATGCTATCAATTTAAAATTAATTACAAATGTAAAAATGAAGTGATGATAACGAAATTAGTTTTTTATACATTTTATCTTACATACTGTTAGGTGTTGGTGACAACATAGCCCAAGATGAGGGCCAAGGTTAGAAAAGGATGAAACTTTAGGGGTATTAAAGTGCAAAAAAACCTTAAAATTTATCAGGTAGGGGGAGGAATATGAACGAAGAAATTACAGGAGCAAAGGTGTCCACGGAGAGAACATCAACCAAAGGGCAACCCCCGCGCTCGGCTTCTCTATCGACTCGCTCGGCCGTGTCGATGGCGTTTCCAATCTGCGAAACAAATTAAGGAGGAGGACGATGAAGTTGATAAATAAATAACAATTTGGGGGGTGGGGGGGTATTACTTGGTAAAGAGAACGAATTGAGGAGGACGATGAAGGTTTTCCTGAAGCAATCGAGGGTATTTATGGTGCCGGTGGAGGCTAGGGTGCATTCTGGAACTCCAATCAAGCATTTAGAAGTCACTGATGCCTGGTTGATTATCGTTTCGCTGGACGAGGAAGAGATCTGCTCTGCAATTCATAACAAAGATTAGTATTTTCTCCCTCTTGAAACTGAGATCCAAAGTTTGGGATCAAATTTAGGTTAATTAAAAGAAAAATTACATAAAGTTAAGATAGAGAAAGGAATGGATCGTTGGAAAAGTTTTCTGATCCTTTCACCATGATCCCAAAATGAAATTTAGCTTCCCCCAAAATTTTCCCTACCCCTTTTTAACCAGGCGCCACAATGAAATTTAACTTCCCCCCAAAATTTTCATTTACCAATGGGCCTATTTTTCCTTTATTTTTCAGCTAACCGTTTCTAATAGAAGGAAAATGATCGTGTGTTTCCATTAGGCTTTATTAAAAACGGCAATTTGTATTAACCGTTATTAATAGGCGCTTTTGTAGTAGTGAAGTATATCGTCTATTGATGAATCAATTCTAATTTGCGCTAATGGACCCAGTAATAGGGATCATGAAAATTGACCACTAACCTTATTTGTTTAAAGCAACTTTTGAATTTCATTGACAAGCGGTTGTTCCTTGTATAGTAATACTCATCATGCAGAGTGATATTCCTCTCTCTTAGTCGCCCTCCCTCCCTCTCTCTTACCCAGTTAGCTTTGTATTAGTTTCTATTTTCATGATTGATAATGCTGACAGTCTGATGTATGCCTCAAATCTCCTTTTTCGTGGATAGATTCCATAATAAGACTACCTGTCAATGTTCTTTACTGTATCTAGACCTAATTCAAAGGAACAGTCAAAACTTATAGACCGTCAGTATTTCAACTAGAAAATTGTGACTTCGATGCATATTTCCTTAGTATTGTATCTGGTTTTGTTACATTCTCAAACGTGTGCTCTAATTTTAATAAGTTAGATTAGAATCTAAATTAATTTAGTCATCTCTCTAAGACTACCTTTAAATGTTCGTCATTAATTTATGTATGTCAAAATTTGTAGGAATCCCCTGATTATATGCGGGAGTTGATAAAGAAAACAAAATCCTTAACAGACAAGCCATTTGGAGTTGGAATAGTTCTAAAGTTTCCCCACAAGGAAAATATAAAGATTATATTGGAAGAAAAGGTGGCATTATTGCAGGTTTCATGGGGTCAGTACCCGAGAGAGCTTGTTTCTGAAGCTCATGGTTGCGGGGTTATGGTTATTCATCAAGTAAGTGATATTTTTCAGAATTGAAGATTTTTTGGTGCACGTTTATGGCAGGAGTATGCTATTTGCATTATTTGCCAATTTCTTTCCTTTTAGAGAAACCTACATTTATTGATCAAGTCATCATTGTGTATGCAATCACTAAAAGAAAAAATTTCTATGAGATTCTTTTCGTGTACAGTTGTGATCGGTTCACCTGTCTCGCTTGTTTATTTTCTCCTTAATCTACATATCCCCTTGCTCTTAAAGCGGATACAACTATGGGTCATCATTGCCTTTAAGGCAGCACTTTTTGCAACACTCATTTCTATATCACCATGCAACGGCGGTGTTGAATTTTTTTTGGGGGATATTATCTATTCCTTTCCTTGTCCATCTTTTTGTATGATGGACTTACTTCAAACACGGAAGTCTTAACTGTCAATACTTTTCATCCCATGAGATCTAAATGATAACTTACTTCTAGTTGGCAGTCATAACTTACTTCTAGTTGGCAGTCCTCTTTAATATGAGATGCACTGTCTATCATGAATCGAAATCGTTATTCAATCCTTCTCAACTAGAAGCGTGCTTGATTTTGTAGACCAATAGCTGTGAGTGAATATTCTTCAATCCTTTTACTTTCTTAGGAGTCATTTTCTCCAATAAACTAATAATTCTCATATCCTTTCTAATTTCCATTATACATGTCTATTTGGGCCTCTCCTCACCAACTATGATCGTATCACTTCTAGCTTGCACATCTGTTGGCCTTTGTTCCACATGCCAGAACCATCTCATCTGGTCTCCTCAGTTTATCCCAATAGAAGCAACTTTAAACCCCCTATAAATGCTTGAAATCTTCCCCATATTTTTGTATCATATTGCGAGTCATCCATCTCGCATTCTGTCCTGCTATGCTAATTTCTTAATTGCCCAAATATCATCATTGGAGAACATCTTAGGTTTTCTATGCGTTAAGTACCTATAAAATGTCCTTTTAAAACATAGCAAATTCTTGAATAATATTTCACCATTCAACTTTATCATTTCTTTTTGCTTAACACTTTGTTTATTCATATGTTTTCTTGAGTCAGCTTGGGTGTATTGAAGAAGCAGCAAAAGCAAAACATGCTGGAGTGGATGCAATTATAGTTCAAGGTCGTGAGGCAGGAGGGCACGTACTTGGTCAGGTATTGACTTTTAACATAATGCAACAGCTAATAGGTCTGAGAAGCACTGAACCATTGTTATGTGGTTCTTGATGAACTCTCAAAAGAACCAATGTCCAGATCATTAGGAAATAGATTTAGACTCGATATAGCACTAGGATTGATCTGGCCTATGGCATCATGGTCTATAATTTTCATGACATGAGATCTATGATGCACGGATACAGATACGGGACACGGATACGATACGGACACGGATACGGGATACGACAAAATCCAAAAAAATAGGATACGGGGATACGACGAGGATTTTTTTTTAAAATTATTATTATATATAGAAAATTTTATAAAATAGGAATGGAGGGTGGACTTGAGGAGTCGGAGGAAGGAGGAGTCGGTCGGCGGGATCGGGTCGGAACAGCGGAGGTGATCGAATCGAACGGGAGTGAGTTGAGAGATTGAGAGAGAGGATTAAGGTTAGGGTTAGAGTTTTTTCTTTTTTTCTTTCGTTTGAGTCAGCTGAGGATCGAATCGAATAGGAGATTTGAGAAATAGGGATGAGTTTTTTAATCGAACGGCTCGGGTTGGATTTTAACAACCAAACCCGCAATCCGCAACCCGAATGAATCGTCCTTCGGCGAATCTGAGCCGTGTCCGAGCTCCTTTGACCGTGTCCGAGCCTAATTTGACCGTTGACCCGTGTCAGACACGGATTGACCGTGTCCGACACGTGTCGTGCATGTGTCGTGACGAATCCGTGTCCGATTCGAGTCGGACACGGATTCGTGGCCTCCGGGGGCGAATCCGTGCTTCAGAGCATGAGATAACCACATTTCCATAAGATGTGGATACCAATGTATATGCATAGAAAGTGAGTCCTAATAATGGATACTTAAAGAGTATGAACTTTTTGCTCATGGCCTTGGTTCTTGTTTGTGTTCTTTGCAGGAAGGATTGCTACCATTATTACCAAGGGTTGTAGACTTAGTTTCAGATTGTGGTATTCCAGTCATCGCTGCAGGTGGCATTGTGGATGGGCGTGGCTATGTTGCTGCTGTGGCCCTTGGAGCTAGTGGTGTCTGCCTCGGAACTAGGTTAAATATACCTAGTTATGATTTATGTCTTTCACATAAAAAATATGTTATCAATATATCATGATGCTCAAATTTGACACATCACCAGGTTTCTTGCGAGTACAGAAAGCTTTGCCCATCCTTTATACAAGAAGAGTCTGGTTGAATTAGATAAAACTGAGTACACAAATGTATTTGGTCGTGCAAGGTGGCCTGGTGCTCCGCATCGCGTTCTGCAGACTTCCTTCTTCAATGATTGGAAGAATCTTCCGGACCACGAGAATGAGGAAAACCAGCCTGTCATTGGTCATACAATAATTCATGGAAGAGTAAGTTTCCTGTATTTCTAACCAATATGTAGAATTCTGAAGCAATGTTCGAAATCAAATCTTTGAAGCAACACACCCACACACACAAACACACATTTCCCTCCACGGTGTTGGCTGGTGTTTGTTGTTGACATGACACACATGCAAGCCGTCAATTATGATTTAGGTATGTTGATCTGGACGGTAATGTCCTAAATGTGTGCGACATCAGCGACACATCAACCAATAATGTAGAGGACACACTAGTCTTGTTTAGTCTATACATGCATGTGTGTATATACTGTATGTATAAACATTAGATTTTCCTCCGGTGTTTGAGGGGGAAAAGCTAAATGTCTCTTTCCACTGTTCCAAGTCATCCATTTTTCCCCATAAAACAGATACTTGATGTCTGTGTATGGGAAAAACAAGAGGGAAAAGATCTTAAATTGTATTATGAAATTCTTAACTTTTGTAAACAAATTAAAGGGTTTGTTAATTTTCTGAGGCATGTTTGCTTTGTAGGAAAAAGAGATACGCTGCTTTGCTGGCACGGTTCCAAATGCGACAATGACAGGTGATATTCAGAGTATGGTGATGTATGCTGGTCAAGGTGTTGGCCTCATCAAGGAGATTCTTCCTGCTGCTGAAATTGTGACGAGACTTGTTGAGGAAGCAAAACGGATCATTCAACAGAAGTTTTCTCATGACTTTGTGCACCATGCAGATATTGGTACTTCCCATGCTCATCGTTTTAAGTGTTGTAAGCTATTGATACATCATTGCACTGGTCAAGGGATTCAACACAGTACAAGTATAGTGCACAACAATCAGGACATGCAATAGACCAAGTTATAAATAGTTAAATCATATATTTGGTTACAGACGTTTTTCACTAATGACATTTATTAGAACATTTTTCTGCTATTTGCAACTATTCTCCCCTTGATTTCTTTTACCCTTTTTAACCATATTATGCATGCAAATTTTTTTATGATGACCTTTCATATATACACAAATGCATTAGTTCCTTCCGTATCTACATAGTGCCAACTGTTTAATTTGATTGTGCCAATAGAACTTATATAAGGTCAGTTTGTAAAAACTTCCAAGTATAGCATAGGTCCTAAACCATTCATTAATATCTTGAACTCTTCTTGTGTTTGAGCCTTCATAACAATTTCTTTCACATCACATAATAATTTACATTCCTGTGTCAGAAGTATCTCTTTTATAGTTTTCTTTTCCCTAAGAATCAAGATCACCTCGTAAGCAGCCACGCAGAAGGGTGCTCCAAAGCAAGACTAGATGAAATATCATTTTGAGTCCTTCTGTTCTTTTGTGGAAGCAACAAACACTAATATATAGTGTTTTAAATTAAAAATTTAGAAAAAACAGCAAATAAATTATGATAACTTACGAGAAAATATAAGTTGACTGAAGGCATGAAGCTAAAACATAATTACTTGACAATGAAAACTTATCTATGTTATACTACCATTGTGACAATGAAATATGTTTTTCCACATTGATCATGAAGCAAGTTCTACAACATTCGATGATAATTTTTTCCCCCACATTAGGAAAGGAATGATGATCATCATCATTAGCGTTGCAAAGCATGTTTTTGTTTATGCATTTGACATTGGAGGGCATTATCCATGTTTTCTGACATGGCCCGTCATGGCGTTAACTGTCCAAAATTTTGTTTTTGCACATCAAGTTCATCTTAAAATCAAATTAAAGTAGAGAAGAAAGAGACCTTGAGACTTCCTATTTCCCATTTCTTACTCCTCTTTCGTCTCTCTTCCTTTTCTCGCTATTATTTGATATTTTTCAATTTGGCTGTGTGTTGCCTGATCATGCCATGAGCTTGCGTCATCACTTGATGCATGCCTGAGAAGATATAATCTCCTTCATCCATGTCTACTGATTCCACATTATATGAGTTGCTAATCTCTTGAATTCTGTAGCCGGTGCAGGTTCTTGCTGACCAAATGAGGACTGGACCTTCTTGTTCACTCATGAATTAGATACGCGTATCGTATGCAGGTGAATTTGACGTGTGAATCATGTAAATGATGTTGTTCATAACACAGATACCCGTGCAATTGTTACAATAAGAGATGCAAAACCACAGCATCCATTGTCGTATTTCTGGCTAGATTTGATGAAAGTAAGAGCTATTAATCCATCTTTGGTATCCAAAATGTTCTTATTATGATAAAGGCTGTTGTAAGACTAAATTTGTTTTGAAACTTTTCAGTCGTTGCGACGTAAATCGCTAGGTATCTTCTCTGTAAACCAATGGGAGATATTACACATTTTCTACATTTTCTATAATCACGTGTACAAAAACATCTTTTTTTTAAGTAAATCACTATGTATCTTCTAAATCAACTTTTACGCACTACGCGGCCTGAATGCCGACAAGCATGTTTTCAGCCGAATCATGTTTAATTCATGTGTTCAGCCATTAACCATGAGTTAATGTTATGTTCCTTATTGGTATAATTAGGCGAAAATGATCTTAACAACGGATATATTGACACTAGAATCTTAACAACGGATATCTTGACGCTACGAACTATTGATCCCATCGACGCTTTTTTTTTTTTTTTTTGGCTTCAAAAATCAACTTCATGAAACGGAAACTTGGTTCTCTCTACTTCACTTTCTAATGCTTGCTAGTTGGTTGTACCAAAAAACAAGAAGTCTGTAAGATCGCGCAATCTTTCCACAAAATTGGAATAGGGTTTGTAGATAGTTTAATTCTATATATAAATAGTTTAATTCTATATATAAATAAAGCCAAAATTAATCTCCTTGATGATCAATTTGCAAATCATTAACTCAAATAATTAATTGCTCTTTTCTTCTTCTTCCGTGCTGCGGTTGGACATGATGACATCCCGCGCACGAGTCACACCCGTCGTCACCATCACAACGGCCGCCACCATTACCAACTGCATCATCCGTACGTAGCAGCTAGCGGGCCCAGAGCGGCAACAGCTAGCGCCGTCGAAAGCTCCGCCTCCTTCATCGGTGAGACCATCACCTTCACCTTCACCTTCGAAAGCGTCGTCCAGGACTCCGTCTCCTTTATCCTGCGACCGCACCATCTCCGTTACCTACGTCACACAGTCTTTCTCGCTCGTGATCACCGTCAAAGGCTCCTTCAATTAATGGCACCAACTCCATCGCCAGCAGAATCTCCGAAGTCACCAAGTCTCCCTCCCTCTCCATCACCATCACCGAGAAGTAGTCCACCTCCCTCAATGTCTTTTTTTTTTTTGAGGAATCGAGAAAGTAACCGATTCTATTATATGACATCAGAGACAATTTGATTACAGATAAAATCTGGAAGTCCCTCAATGGAGTCCGAGAATAAGGGGCTGTTTGCTTGCCCTAAAAAAAAAGGAAATCAAGAAATAGGAAACTTATTTTCTTAAAAAATTGTTTTATAGTTGTTTGGTTGGCTAAAAAAAGAAGGAAATCAAATAATAGGAGATGAGATGAGATGAGTTGTCACCATATTATTGGATGATGTGAGTGTTTTTTAAGAAAAGTTATTTTGAGGTTGTTTGGTTGGTTAAAAAAGAAGGAAATCAAAGAATAGGAAACCTATTTCTTATAAATAGGTTTTTCTCTTGTGTTTGGTTCATTCTTAAAAATAGGAGATGAGATGAGATGAGATGAGATGAGTTGTCATTATATTATTGGATGATGTGACCCACACTTAAGGAAATCAATTTCCTTGTTTTTTTGGAGGAAATGGGTGGAGATGAAATGGAGATGAGATGAGATGAGTTGTCACAATATTATTGGATTATGTGAGTGATTTTTAAAGATGAGATGTGATGGAGATGAGATGAGTTGGATGATGTGACCAATTTCTTTTGTTTGGTTTATTTTATTGGATGATATGAGATGAGTCGTGAGAGAAATTAGCTAAGTCGTGAGAGAAAATATTGCCCGTGCATCGACAATGGAGGACGGATGATGACCTGAAATCTTTAAGGAGACCAGCATAGTCCCAAAATGTAAGACGTGTGAGGAGGGTAAGCAATGGAATCATATGCACAAGAACAAGCCAGATGAATTAAGGGTGACTATCTAAAACTAGGTCTTTTCTAGTAATTGTAAGGACTTGGGTATTTCGATTGGTTTTGGGTAGATTCTAATATCCTATTTGTAAAATCTGCTGAATCAGGTTGTGATTTAGAAGAACTCTGTTACAGTGAAGAGGCCCTTCGCGAGAAGGAAGTGTGAATGTAGAAATTTAATTAGAACCACTATAAAAATCATGTGTTCCGGTGTTGGTTGCTTTAAGTTTTTCACATATTTTATTTTCGCTGCATCATCTGAGATTAGTCAAAAAACTGTAGCAATCCTATTTAACCCACCCCTCAGGTTGCATCTCAGTTCCAACATTAACATATTTTGTTAGGTTATTTTTCCTTTCTCTTGCTGTGGGTCCAACCCAATTGAGTCCCACAAGAACTAGGTCAAATTAGCTGTATCCTACTAGGAAAAGGATTTGAGATACCTATTCATAATGTCAATTAGGAGGACCTAGAGATAAAAATTCCTTTATTAAAGGAATTGGGGCACGTGAAGATCATCATCTTGAGATTTTTTTTGGGTGCTACAGTGACCCGAGAATAATATTAATCCGAGGAGAGAGAAATAGAGAGAGAGAGAGAGAGAGAGAGAGAGAGAGATATTAAGATTCCACATACCTCGGTTGTCAAATTGCAGTGATTTAAAAGCCATTGTCTTAAGGACGACAATGCCGTCGAGGATATGATATTGATTTCTCTGTGAGAGTTGAAGATTTGTGGTGAGACGGGTTTTAGGGTTTTGGTGCCCTAGAGGTAACACTGTATTATTATCTTTGTGATTTGATCCTCAAGTTTGGGTGTAACTTTGAGGGATTGTACTCTCGATTGATAATGGAATATTACTCTCTAATTTGTCTTGTGGACGTAGGCACGATTTGCCGAACCACGTTAAATATTGGTGTTTGTTTGCGTGTGGTATTTTCATTGATGCAGTTGTTCGTTTCGTGTTTAATTCCGCAAATTAATCTCCATAGAATTCCTAACAAGTGGTATCAAAGCCCTGATTCAAGGCGTGCTTTGGGATAAAAAAGATGGAGGGTTTTTGCACAATGATAAATTTGAATGGTTCCAATTGACACATATAGAAGTCTAAGATGGAAGATATTATGTATTGTAAAGATCATGACCGTATTGAGGGAGATGAAGCTAAGCCAGAAGATATAACTGATAAAGAATGTTAGAAACAACACAGAAAGGCGATCGGTTATAAATGATGTGGATCAACGTTAGTGTGTTTTATCATATATCGGTTGAGACTAATGCGAAGTCTTTTTGAAAGAAACTTGAAAGTCACTATTTTGAAAAATAAAATAAAATCATTATTGTGATAGTGAAGTGGCCTTATCATGCCCCTTAAAATTGAAATCAACAAGAAAGTTTGGTGGTAATTGGGCTCTCTTCAATTGATGGTAATTGGAGAGGATCTAAGGGGGTGTTTGGTTCAATTTCTAGAAATTATAGGAAATATTTTCCACCTAAAATATGATTTCCTTGTATTTCTTAAAAAATTATAGGAAAAATTTTGAGAAATCAAAAAGTACTAATTTTCTTGTTTTTTGTACTTTGCTTGTTTGGTTCAAAACAAGAAAATAGCTCATAACTTTATAGAAAATAACAAGATTTGGTAGGTTTTTAATTAAATATGGTATGTGTTAGATTTCTGGTGATTTCCTCTCATTTTGAGAGGAAATTGCTTTTTGTAAAATTTGGTAGGTTTTAATATTTTATAGAAAATATTTCTGTAAATTTTTTGTTGAACCAAACACAATTTACAGAAATCTCTGAAAAAATTTTAATTACAAATTTACCATTGTCAGATGTTTTGAGAAAAGTTTTCTCAAAAAGTGTGCAACCAAACAGCCCCTAAATCTCTCCATGACAAATTGCTTTTATTTTCTTAGCTTTTAGTTTAGGACATCATAATAAGGAAACTATATTAATACTTGTGGTTAACAGGCTTTAGGCCCATACAATTCATAAGTGAGATGCTTAATAGAGTTTCGAGTGTATCTGAACAGTTATCCCCATAAAAAATCATATCTTAGCCATTTATATATTAATATAATATCATAAAGATATAATTATCTTATCATATTATTAAATTTTACATCAAGAGTTTCAATTTCATCCTCTACCAAAAATTAGAGGGAAGAAAAAAAAAAAAAATCTTCGTCTCCCCCATCCAAAACCAAAACCCTAACCCTAACCCTATCATCAAATCAAGAGAGAGAGAGAGCAGCGACTCCGAGATCGATGAACTTCAATGCTTGGTTATCTCGATGTTATCGCCATTGCTGAGCTCGCTGATTACGGTACGATGGTCGTCCGCCCTTATTTTGATCAATTCAGGTGTTATTGACATCCGTGTTCTATCATCATAAACACTAGAACTTCAACTTGATAGTTTTGTACTGAGGAATCAATCCTAACAAACTTCACATCACATGTGTTTAATTTTCATGCCTATGTTCGATTTTCTCAGTGATAGAGGTTATCAGAATCAGACGCATTTCTTGTCATTTAGAAGAACATCCTTGATCAGTCTTTCCAAATTTAAGGCAGACCGGCCGCCTGATTCGGCTGCCTCAATTGCGCACCTTTTCCATTCCGAAACCTTCTGCCTCATCTCCTCCGCTCTCTCGCCCTCCATCAGTACCCTGACCGCTTTCTCTACTACGTCTCTCTTCACGACATTGCCGATTTCTATTCCGATCCCCCAATGAGTGCAAGCAAGTCGGCAATTTGTCGCTTGATCCACGGCTTGAGGTCAACATATCATCGGCACACCCGCACTTATGCCCTCCAACATCGAGTTCCATCCGCAGTGAGTAAAAAACCCTCCTACCGATGGGTGCGTGAGCACTTCTTCTTGCGGGCACCAGCCTGTCAGCAGACCCCTTCCGCTTGTCTGGATCAATAAGTCTTCGAGCATAAAATCTGAACCATCTTGTTTCAAGATGTCGCGTCTGACCACCATTAGGAAGGCATGCCCGCTGTTAGCTAGCCCTGTTGCAATTTCTACCAGTTGCTTGTTCGTCAGAACTGCTAAGCTCCCAAAACTTACATACACAACAGATCGTTTCTCTCTTCCGTTCAACCATTCCAAGCAGTTGGCCTCTTGTTTCCATAGGTTTGACCCGATGAAGTTCAATGGGCTGTTGTCAGGAATTGGGCGACAGAGCAAGTGCAGAGGCCCTATGGTAAAGCTGTCAATTGCGCCAAAGACCTCAGAAGCTTGAAGACTGGTGACTTGAGAAGTTGGGGGCTGATACGCAAAGATTGGGGTTATCATGCGAAGACTTTAAAAGTTTAAGGGCTTGTAATAAATGTTCTGTTACAACTGTTTCTGTTTTTTGTTTGTTTTTCTGTTCGGCTGTGTACTGTTCGTGCACGTACACAAACATCCGTTCATTGAATCCGTTTGTATAAATTGAGAACTTGTACACAATCAAAGGTAGCATATGAATGAAATTAGAATTGTTCTTCTTCTCAAATTTAACCTCTGTTCTTCTTCTCTCTAAACTTATTCCTCTCATCTCAATTCTCTCTCACTTACTGTCTACATCTCTCAACTATCTCAATTTTCTCTTCTTGAAGTTGTTTCAGGTTCAACCATGGCCAGAATTGAAGCTAGGGGAATCGACAGAGGAAGAAGTTTAGAAAGAATTGAGGTCAATTTGATTGTGAGGATATGAATCCTCTGTCGATTCCCCTAGCTTCAATTCTGGCCATGGTTGAACCTGAAACAACTTCAAGAAGAGAAAATTGAGATAGTTGAGAGAGATGTAGACAGTAAGTGAGAGAGAATTGAGATTGAGAGGAAGAAGTTTAGAGAGAAGAGGAACATAGGTTAAATTTGAGAAGAAGAACAATTCTAATTTCATTCATATGCTACCTTTGATTGTGTACAAGTTCTCAATTTATACAAACGGATTCAATGAACTAATGTTTGTGCACGTGCACGAACAGTGCACAGCCGAACAGAAAAACAAACAAAAAACAGAAACAATTGCAACAGAACATTTATTACAAGCCCTTGAACTTTTAAAGTCTTTGCATGATAACCCCAATCTTTGCGTATCAGCCCCCAACTTCTCAAGCCACAAGTCTTCAAGCTTCTGAGGTCTTTGGCGCGATTGACAGCTGTTCATCAGGTCCTGACACGCTATAGCTTGGATTGCTTGAAGAACTACAACTTCCAATGGATCAAAATTGTTTAGTATGATAGCAGTTGCTCGATGAGCTTCTTCAGACTCATCTTTAATGAAGTTGAGGACAACATCATTGGGGTCAGTTGTGGGAATAAATGTAGATAGATTTTTCAAACGCATTTTCTGCAGCCCAGGTATCCCTTCGATTGGTGTCTCCAGATAACCGTTGCTGAGATCACTTTCACCTAACAACAAAAAATGGTACGTTAGCGAATACAGAACAAAATTTTGCACATCTTATAAGGAATATTTACATAAAGGTTATAAACACTTTCATCAATATCCTCTTTTTCATAGTATCATTTATCAAATGAATCAAAATAAAAAGATCTAGTATCTTTCCTTCAAGAATATAGGAGTTCTCAATCAATAAAATTCCAACCGAAGTTTCACAAGCAAGCATGAGAAATTTCTATAACAATAGGTTAGACGTTTTTTTGTTGCCTTTTAGTAAATAACAATAGTTTCGTACAAAACAGGAAATAGTAGAAGTTTTGTTTGCATTTTGCCCCATCTTAAATGTATACTTTACGGGAGGAGTAAAGCTAGAATAAACTTAAGTATAAAGAAGCTCTTGTTCGCGGGAAAATTCGTTGCTTTCTTTGTTATTGATTCCATTGTCATCTTGAGTTATAACTTTTTGAGTTACAAAGATCCGGTCTTTTATAAGATGCGTTACAATGAAATCAAAGAAAAATAAAAAGATTACAACTTTTCTCCTTCTGTGTCGAACGAATCGCGGAGCTCGCTGTTTTGCGGTCGGCTCGCGTTGTAATGGGTTTCTTTGCCGTGCGCCGTGACGGTTGTTTGTGCCGTGGACACACCGCGCCGAATCTAGATCCGGTCGGATCTACGAGTACGACGGGTATTATTCTACGAAGGAAATAATAGCCGGGAGGGATTGATTCACCAAGGAAACAATCGCTCAAGTCTCGGGATCTAAGACCAAGCTAGATCCGGAGTTCGTACGCGTAGAGATCTGAAGATCTGGTCCTCTCGAACACCTGCCTTATTTGGGCTGTTGAGCGTCGCCGAGCACCAGATCTGGATGAGCAAGTCCTTGAAGTCCTAAAGTTTGAATCTTGTTTGGATCTGAGTCTCCGAGTTCAGCAGGATTCTTCATTAATCGATTCCATTGTCATCTTGAGTTATAACTTTTTGAGTTACAAAAGATCCGGTCTTTTTATAAGATCCGGTTACAACGAAAATCAAATAAAAAAGAAATGAAATTACAACTTTTCTCCTTTTGTGTGCGAACGAATCGCGAGCTCCTGCTTTTGCGGTCGCTGCTTGTGGGTTCTTTGCCTGCGCCGGGGTTGTTTGTGCCGTGGACCACACGGAACCGGAGATCTAAGATCCGGTCTCGGATGTATCGCAGTAGGACGGGTAATTATTTCGAGCGGCAAGGAAGATAATAGCCGGGGAGGAATTGTTTCAGCCAGGAACAATCGTCCCAGATCTTCGGATCTAAGTAGACGCAAGCTTAGATCGCGGAGTATGCCCTGGTAGATCTGAGATCTGACCTGCGCTCTCGAACACCTGCCTTATTTGACGTTTGATGATCGCCGAGCACGGTCCAGATCTGAAGGAGTGAGTCCCAAGTCCGCAAAGTTCGGCAATCTTTTTTTAAGTTGCGAGTCTCGCAATCCAGCAGGGCTTCGGCCTCTCGCAAAATTTTCCAACCTTTTGAAATGAAGAACGCCCTTGGCCTATTTATAAGGCTCTTCAGGGGGTTACCTGTCCGGTAGGCCGATGTGGTCACGTGTGGCCAGCTCAAGGGTGTGGCCGGCCACCTGCCAAGGTGGCTCGGCTCATGCCGAGCCACCAAGAGGTGGCTCGGCGCAAGCCCGAGCCACCTCTTGGTGGGTCGGGTGGTGGCCGAGCCCCTTGGTGGCGCGCCGAGCCACCAAGGTAGGTGGCTGGCGGCCTCCTGCCGAGCCACCATTGGGTGCTCGAGGGGCCGAGCCACCTACGAGGTGGCTGGGCGGCTCCGAGGCACGCATTTGGTGGCTCGGAGGTGGCCGAGAGCCAGCCCAAGGTGGGCTGCGCGCACCCGGAGGCGCAGCCACTTGGTGGGGCTGCGGCTTGGTGGCTCGTAGCCGCGCTCGGTGACTTGGTTTCGCAGGGAGCCCTCCGGGTGTTTGGTTTTGCTGCTGTTTCGCACCTTTGCGTTCTGTCCGTGATTCGGTTGATTTAGACTCTGATTTGGGCAGTAAGTCCGATTCCCGATTTGGCAGTAATCTGATTCCTGATTTGGGCAGTAAATCTGGATCCTGATTTGGCAGTAAATCTGATTCGGGCTGATTTGGCAGTAAAATGCTGGATTCGCTGATTAGGCAGTAAATGCTGGATCCTGAATTTAGGCAGTAAATCTGATTCGCTGGATTTGGCAGTAAATCTGGATCCTGATTAGGGCAGTAAATCTGGATCGCTGATTAAGGTCAGTAAATGCTGATTCCTGATTGGGCAGTAAATCTGGGGATCGCTGATTAGGTAAGTAAATCTGATTCGCTGATTTGGCAACGTAAATCTGGTATGCGCTGGATTAGGCAGTAAATGCGGCGATTGCCTAGATTTGGGCAGTAAATCTGGATCCTGAATTTAGGCAGTAAATCCGCTTGCTGAGTTCGAGTGCGAACTGATCTTGATTCGATCGTGGATTCGTCCGGAGTTTCGCCTTGGTTGGATGACTGCGTTGAGCTGCTTGGCCGATTCGCGAATGGCGAACGATGTATTCCGTGGCTATGGCGGTGCGATTGCGTCGATCTCGTCGCGCAAATCGTTGGTTTGGTGCCGTTTGTGCGCGAGCTCAGAGCTAAGGACGCTAATAAGCAATTTTAAGTATTTCAGTCTCGTTCTTTTATAGAAGAGTGGCCTGGAATACTTTGGATATGATTGCGCTCCCACCCTTCAGTCGGTGTAATGAGACCTTGGAATGATTTCGCGTTCTTGATTCTTCAATCCTGTCAGTGCTTATTCGGTGCTTTGTCGAAATGTCTGTAAGGGTTCGCCGGTGGCTGCATTTTATTGTTCTGACCGTTTGTCGGAAATTTGATCTTGAGTCAGATTCGCTGATTTTTGATCTTAAGGCGTCGTAGAAC